TTTTTAAGAAGAAACATGAAAACTACATATATTCTTGTGTTTTAATAAATTTATCAATGCTATAGTTAATGCTTCAAAATTGGGAAGGGTGTATGCCAGGGATGTGTCCTATCTCCATACCTTTTCAACCTGTATGCAGAACAGATCATACGGGAGGCTGGGTTCTATGAGGAGAAATGTGGCATCAGGACTGGTGGAAGATCTATCAACAAGCTGTTATGCAAATGACACAACCCTGCTTGCTGAAAATGAGGAGGACCTGAAGCCCTTGCTGCTGAGGGTCAGGGACTGCAGCCTTCAATATAGATTGAGGCTCAATGTCAAGAAGACAAAGATTCTCACCACTGGACCAATTGGCAGCATCAGGATGGATGGTGAAGAGATTGAGATTGTTCACAGCTTTAGTCTGCTTGGCTCCACAATCAACACTCTTGGCACCAGCAGCCAGGAAATTAAAAGACGGATTGCGATGGGAAAGTCTGCTGTTAGGGACCTCTCCAAAGTACTCAAGAGCAACGATGTATCTCTGGAGACTAGGGTGCGTCTGGTACAGGCCATGGTCTTTACAATCACTTGTTATGCGTCAGAGAGCTGGACAATGACCAGGGAGGATAGGAAAATTGATGCTTTTGAGCTTTGGTGTCGGAGAAGAGTGCTGAGAGTGCCATGGACTGCTAAGAAAACAAACAGATTCATCGTGGAGAGGGTTAAACCGGGCTACTCCTTGGAGGCAAGGATTCTGGGTCTTCATCTGACATACTCTGGTCATGCTGTAAGGAGGGACAGGTCCTTGGAGAGGGACATCATGCTTAGGAGGGTGGAGGGCAGGCACAGAAGGGGAAGGCCCTCCGGGAGATAGATTGATTTGGTGACTGGGGCAATCGGGATGAGTGTGTTGGAGACAATGAGATTGGCACAGGACAGAGCAGAGTTTAGAGCTGTTGTACATAGGGTCGCTATGAGTAGCAAGCAACTCGATGGCACATAACAACAACATAGTTAATGTTATAAAATTCTACTTCTGGAAAATAAAATATTAAACTAATTTTTCATAGTGCTACAAGTAAGCACTTAATTACCAATTGGTCTAGTACTACTATTGGGCTCCAACTGTGAATATTTTGTTGTCCTTGTGTTAAGATGTGGTCCTAACTGAAGGCTGTAGCCTTTGATCTGCTGCTGTTTCAAATCTTCTTCACTTTCAGCAAGCAAGGTTGTGTCACCTGCATAAGATGAACCTTCCTCGAAAATGGATACCATATTCTTATTCATAAAGTACAGCACATCTTGATTTGCTCAGTATACAGAGTGAACGGGTATGGAGAAGGATACAACTCTGATGCACATATTTTCTCATTTTAAATCATGCAGTACCTATTGCTTTTTAGCCTATGCATACGTTTTTATTTTTTTGGTGTTTTTTTTCCCCTAGTTGAGTACCATCAAGTTGGACCTGACTGGCACAGTATGAGATTGCCGCAGCTTCTCCAGTGGAGCATGTGGTGGATTTGAACCGCACACCTTTGGAATTGCTGTATGGCTTCTTGCCACCAGAGGTCCCTTATGTATAGGTTTTTCATGAGCATAATTATGTGTCGAGTATTTATTCTTCTCAGTGTTATCCTTAATTTGTTATGATCCATACAGTCAAATGTTTTTGGAGTTAATAAAACACAAACATCATTCTGGCATTCTGTTTTCAGTTACAATCCATCTGACATCACTAATGGTGAGCCTCTCTTGATCCACAGAGTCTATTAATGGTGCTTGAATTTCTGGTAACTCCTATCAATGTACTGCTAAAACCAATGTTTATTATTGTCAATAAGATTTTACCTGCATTTGGTATTCTTTCAAAATTTCCAAATTCTATTGGTTACCTTTTTTTTTTTTTTTTTATAATGGGCACAAAGATGGAATCTCTGGTTTTCTGTTATTATGTACCGTCAAGTCAGAATGGATTCATAGCTTACCCTGCAATGGGTTTTCAGAAGCTATAAATAGTACAGGAGGAGACTGCCCATCTTTCACTCATGAAGCAAATAGTGGATTGTAACGGTATGCTTTTGGGAGGCAGTGCAACTCCTTACCACTAGGCCCCACAGCTCACAAATTTCTTGGCAGAGATCAGTGATCATGTCTGAGACTGTGCTTGTTGAAATGCCTCAAAAGGTATTTTGTTAATTCCTGGAGCCAATAAGCAACATCATGGTAAGTGGACAAAATATTGAAGTTGTCAACCACTTAATTTTATGTGGATCCACAATAAGAGTCATGTAAGCAGCAGTGATAAACTCAAAATGATGCATTGCATTGGGAAAATCTGATGTCAAGGTTCACCTTAAGGTGCTAAAGAGCAAGGATGTCACTTTAAAGGCTAAGGCATGCCTGACCCAAGCTATGGTGTTTTCAATTGCTTCACACGTATGTGCAAGTTGGACAATGAATAAAGCAGATCAAAGAACAGATTTCTTTGAATTGCGGTGTAAGTGAAGAGTACCTAACATACCATGAAATTCTACATTGTTGCTATGTGCCATCGAGTCACCGGAGACTCATAGTGATCAACAGCTCTGAAGCTTGCTGTATCCTGAGCTAGTCTCACTGACTCTAATAAACCTACCCCATTGCCCGTTACTGTATCAACCCATCTTATCCGGGATCTTCCTCTCCTGCACTATCATCCCTCCACTCTTCTGAGCATGACGTCCTTCTCCAAGGACTGGTCCCTCCTGGCCATGTGCTCAAAGTATGTGAGACGGAACTTCAAAGATCCTAGCTTCCAAGGAGAGACTTGGTTTCACCATCTCCAAGATCTTGGCGGTCCACGATATGTTCAAGACACTTCTCCAGCACAAATCAAAGGCATAGATTCTTCTGTTATCCTTAGTCACTGTCCAGCTCTCTGATGCATAGCAAGTAAATGCGAAGACCAGGGCCTGGCTCAGGTAGACCTTAAGTCTCTAGACTGACATTGTTGCTTCTCAGTACACTGGAGAGGTCTCCGATAGCAAACTTGCCCGAAGCAATTTGTCTTTTCATTTCCCAACTGCTGGTGTCAAGAGTGTGGATTATGGAGCCAAGCAAGCTATAATTGTTAGCAACCTCAATCTCTTCTCCATCTAGTATGGTGCTGCCAACTGGCCTAGTGATGAAAATCTTTGTCTTCTTGATGTTGAGCTTCAATCCATATCGAAGACTATAGTCCTTGACCTTCTGTAGCAAGTGCTTCAGGTCCTTCTCAGTTTCAGTAAGCAAGGTTGTATCATCTGCGTAATGCAGACTGTTGATGAGTCTTCCTCCAATCCTGAATGTGGCATAAAGCCCAGCCGCTTTTTTTTTTAAAGCCCAGCCTCTTGAATGATCTGTTCTGCATATAAACGGAAAACATATGGAGACAGGATGAATCCCTGATGCACTCCCTTCCTGATTTTGAACCATGCAGTGTTTCCTTGCTCTATTCTGAGGACTGCTTTCTGGTCTGAATAAAGGAGATTCTATAAGAATAAATATATCTGTGTTGTAAGAAATAAAGACAGAGTACTCCTTAAAAGCAAGAATGATGAGACTCACATATTTTGGGCATGGTGAGGAGAGGCCAATCCCTGGAGAAGGAAATAATGCTTATTAAGCCATTCTATATGGACGAAACAACCCTGCTTGCTGAAACTGAAGAGGACCTGAAACACCTGCTGCAGAGTGTCAAGGACTGCAGCCTACAATATGGATTGAGGTTCAATGTCAAGAAGACAAAGATTCTCACCACTGGACCAACTGGCAGCATCAGGATGGATGGTGAAGAGATTGAGATTGTACACAGCTTTAGTTTGCTTGGCTCTGTAGTCAATATTCTTGGCACCAGCAGCCAGGAAATTAAAAGGCGCATTGCCATGGGAAAGTCTGCTGCTAGGGACCTCTCCAAAGTAGTGAAGAGCAATGGTGTCTCTCTGGAGACTAAGGTGCGTCTGATACAGGCCATGGTCTTCGCAATCACCTGTTATGCATCAGAGAGTTGGACAATGACCAAGGAGGATAGAAGGAGAATTGATGCCTTTGAGCTGTGGTGCTGGAGAAGAATATTGAGGGTACCATGGACTTCTAGGAAAACAAACAGACTCATCCTGGAAAGGGTCAAACTGTAGCTTCTTGGAGGCAAGGATTCTGAGGCTCCATCTAACATACTTTGGACATGTTGTGAGGAGAGACCGGTCCTTAGAGAGGGACATCATGCTTGGGAGGGTGGAGGGACAGCGCAGGAGAGGAAGGCCCTCTATGAGGTGGACTGATTCAGTGACTGGGATAATTGGGATGGGAGTGTCAGAGACAGTGCGACTGGCACAGGACAGAGTGGAGTTTAGGGCTGTTGTACATAGGGTCGCTATGAGTCACAAGCGACTCGACGGCACATAACAACAACAAGTGACCAACTTGAATAAGGCTGACACAGTGACTGGCAACTATGAGCTTAAGCACAGTAGATGCTGTAAAGATGGTACAGGATTGGGCTGGGGTTTATTCACCTGTGTTTGGGTCACTATGAGCTGGAGGCATTTTGATGTCAACAACAGCAGCAGCATGGCTGCTAACCAAAATGGGGGTGGTTTCAACCATTAGCTACTCTGAAGGAGAAGATGTGGCAGCTTTATCCTACAGAGATTTTGAGTCTTGGAACTCTAAGGGCAATTTCATTCCGTTTTTTAAGAGTCAGCTAAAATTCACCTAGCACAGTGGGATTCTTTTGAGCATATCTTCACATGGTATTTAGTGAGGCAAACAGAAAAAAAGCTGAATAATAAACCTGATCATTTCATAAATGATTAAACATATCTGCTCCATTAATAACACACTTTTACCTTGATTAGAACTGTTCCAGTTGTGAGTTTGTACAGAAAAATACAAGTAAATGTGCTATTTCTTTAGAATTTTACTCTGTAATCTGAATGTAAGCTAGAAAATGAAACGAAATAGTGATTTAGGAACTGAATGATGCACAAATTTACCTTTCCATTTAGCAACCAGCTTAGGATCTGAAATTGTGAAGTTTGGACGGCTCCTTGATAGAATACCTTTTCCAAAATAACCCTTTCAGGAAGAAGAGAAAAAGGAAGTTAGTTTAATCAATGTTGCAGATGAGCCAAAAAACTACTTATTTTAACAAGGCCACCTTCTTTTTTTATAGCTTAGCATTTCACTGATACTTAACACCACAAATACCTTAACACTTTCTCTCAAGGTTTCAGTATCCCTCAATTTATCTCAAAAGAAATTATTTCAGTCTGTGTCTGGTAAACTAAAGGTAATGGGAGAAGTTAAGTCTGAAATTCTTCTTACCATACACTCAGGAACACAGTATCTGTCTATACCCCCATTACCCTACTCACGGAGTCAATCCATCTCATCAAGGGTCTTTTTCTCTTGTGCTGTCTCTCCTTCCTCCCAAGCACGACATCTATCTCCAAGAACTGGTCCTTCCTTGCAACATGCCCAAAGTATGTGAGAAGGAGCTTTAGAATCCTTGCCTCCAAGGACCACCCTGGTTTCACCCTCTCCAGGATAAAACTTTTTGTTCTTCTAGCAGTTCACAGTATATTCAATACTCTAGCACATTTCAAAGGCTTTGATTATCCTTCTATCATCCCTAGTCAATGTCCAGCTTTCTGATGCATAGCACATAACTGTGACGATCCTGGCCTGGATCAGGCACACCTTAGTCTCCAGACTGACATTGTTGTTCTTTAGTAGACTTTTCCAGTGCAATTCATCTTTTGATTTCCTGGTACCAGGAGAGTTGATTGGGGAGCTAAGCAAATTAAAGCTGTTAACAATCTCAATCTCCTCGCCGTCTATCATGATGCTGCCAATTAGCCCACAGGTGAGACTCTTTTGTTTTCTTGATGTTGAGCTTCAATTTATATTGAAGGCTGCATACACTCTTCCTGATTTTATACCACGCAGTTTTTCCTTGCTGTCTTCTGACAAATGCCTCTTGGTCCAATTATAGGTTTTACATAAGTATAATCAAGTGTTCTGGGATTCCCATTTTTCTGTCTTAGCCACACAGTCAAATACCTCTGCATAGTCAATGAAACACAGATAAGACATTCTTCTGGTGCCCTCAGCTTTCAGCCAAGATCCATCTAACATTAGCTATAATACCGCCAGTAACACAACCTCTTCTAAACCCAGCCTGAACATCTGGCTGAAACATGCTGAAAATACCAAGGTGGATTAGGCACACTTTAGTCTCTTTAGTGATCTTTAGCACTCAGAAAAGATCCTTATTAGATTTCTCCACCACAATGCTATTTTATTTCAACTCTTGTTGTTGTTATATGCTGTGGAGCCGTTTGTGACTCATAGCAACCCTATGTACAATAACCCTAAACCCTGCTCTGTCCTGTGCCAATCTCCCTGTCTCTGACACACCCACTCCAATTACCCCAGTCACTGAAATCAATCCATCTCACAGACAGTCTTCCCCTCCTGTGCTGTCCCTCCACCATCCCAAGCATGATGTCTGTCTCCAAGGACTGGTCCCTCCTTGCAACATGTCCAAAGTATGTCAGACGAAGCCCCAGAATCCTTGCCTCTAAGGAGCATTTCAACTGTAGTGATTGTAAATTGACCATAATACTTAACTATACATGTTTATGATAGGTGGATATGAAAATATGTTAATGATATTTTGATAAATCCAGTGCCACTCAGTTTCAACTCAGAAAAGTCCTCTGCTGAGTTTGAGGCTGTAAATCTTTATTACAAAAGATTTCCCACTTTCCTCCCTTGAAACAGCTGGTGGTGGACTCCAATGGCTGACATTTTTGGTTCGTAGTCCAGTACGTCATGCATTATGCCATAGGGAAATGTACAGCCTTGGAAACCTGGTGGTGGAGTTTCCACTGGAACCTGATGAACAGACTTGATAGCAACAGGTTATCCCCCACATCTACCAAAAAATGGGCTATAGGGGAAACAGAGGAAAATAGGGAAAAAACAAGACACCAGTCTTAACCCAAACCTTCCATAAAGTAAAAGCTAGAGCTTGTCCTTACCCTGGTAGTTAAGAGTCTCAAGTCTCTCTGATATGTCTGCATACTGGAGCAATGGGTTACCAAACTTAACAAGAGGAAGATAGACACTCTGTACCTGCCACCATGACACTTGCTTACCACTTGCCTGACTAAATCCCATTTCTCTTATGCTGACAGCAGTGTTGTTCTCACAAAACTCAAAGTGGTGGTTCCGAAGCATCAAACTGCTAAATCAATTTATGAGGAACTGACCCCCTAAAACATCTGGAATCATAAGCCTACTAGTTAATTAAATCTGGGAGTAGGAATGAGAGTGAATGGGAGAATTTGTATTTTTAACCTCGTTGTTGCTATTGTAGTTATGTGCCATCAAGTTGGAACTGACTTGGAACCCTCAGCAGGTTTTCAGAGGCTGTAAACCACATGGGAGGAGAATGCTCATCCTTCTTCTGTGGAGAAGCTGATGGATTTGTAGTACATGCCTTTGGGTTGGTAGCATAACTCCTTAACACTAAGCCATTAAGACTTCCTTTTTACCACTACACAATATCCTTTTCATATTTACACAAATTGTGAGATTTTTTTAAAAAACAATGAACATATGTAGTGTTTCTATAAATGTAAGAGGGGGGGAAAAGGCCAACTCATTAACCTCTATTTCATCATTAATTTTATTTTACTTAAATCTGTAATCAACACCTATGGAAGTGGCAGCTAAGAACTCAAGATACATTGCACAGGGTAAATCAGACAGCAAAGACCGTTTTTAAAATGCTGAAGAGCCAGATCATCAGTTTAAAAACTAATTTGAGTTTGACCCAAGCCCTTGTGGTATTTCCAATTGCTTCATATGCATGTGAATGTTAGATAATGAATAAGGAGGACCAAAGTATTGATGTCTCTGACTTGTGTTAGCAACACAATATTGAATATTATGAATCAATCTCCATAATAGTCTATGTGTTTCCTACTGCCAAAGGGGCCCTTTAGAGTAGTGAGAGAAGATCTTCACCCTGAAACCCACAGCGTCCCTTTTCAGCAGGAAGTAGCTAAGACAATACGCCATCCCCTTTTCCTTATGACTCAGGGTGAAGTCTCTCTCAGGGAGGAGTGATAGGGAATGGCAAAGGACACACTGACAAAGAAGATTAATCAGAACTGGCTTTGACAAGCACTGTGGCATTTGGACAAGAACAAACTGGGAGGAGGGTAGAGAGAATAGTGCAACAAGGAATGAATGGAAACCCAAAATCTCTGTAAATGTTTATGAAAATTAATAAAATATAGAAAAAAAAACAAAAAACAATATTGAATATATAATGGATTACCCAAAGAACAAACAAATGTGCCTTGGAGGAAGTGAAACCAGAGTGATCTGTAGAGGCAAGGATGGTGAAATTTGGTCTCACATAGTTTGGTATACTGTCAAGAGGTGCTTGTCCTTGGAAAAAGACTGGGAAAATAGAGGAAGAAAAGTATAAAACAAGAGACCAGTCTTTACCCAAACCTCCCATAAAGTAAAAGCTAGAGCTGTCCTCAACCTGGCAGGGAAAAGTAAAGGGTCAATGAAAGAGAAGACCCTCAAATAGATGAACTGCAACAACAGCCTTGAATATGGCAGAGGTTGTAAAGATGCACAGCATAGGGAAAGGTTTCACTCTTTTGTTCATATATGGTTGCTAAGAGTTGACTCCATGGCACCATAACAATATTTCCTTGTGAAGATGTAGGTTTATAGAACCCATCTGTCATTTTTTTATCCTAATAATGCACACAAAATAGACAGGAAAATGTGTATTTGTGTTTTATTGACTATGCAAAGACATTTGACTGTGTGGCTCATAACAAGTTGTGGCTGATATTGAGAATTGGGAATTCTAGAGCACTTTATTGTGCTCATGTGAAACCTACACCTGGACCAGGAGGCTGCTGTGTGAACAGAGCAGGGGAACACTGCACAGTTTAATATTAAGAAGGGAGTGTGTCAGGGTTGTATTCTCTCTCCATACCTATTCAGTCTGTATGCTGAGCAAATTATTCGAGAAGCTGGACTCTCTGAAAACGAATGTGGCATTAGGATCAGAGGGAGAATCATCAATAACCTGTGTTAGGCAGATGACCCAACCATGTTTGCTGAAAAGTACGAAGACTTGAAGCACTTGTTGCAGAAGACCAAGGAATGCAGGCTCCGGTATTAATTGCACCTCAATGTAAAAAAAAAAAAACCAAACAAAACCACACCCAAAAATTCTTACCAGTGGATCGCTAGATTAACATCATGATGGACAGAAAAGAGATTGAAACTGTCAATAACTTCATTTTATTTGGATTCACAATTAACACTTAGTGCCAGCAGTCAGGAAATAAGAAGACACACTGCATTGACAAAGTCTGCAGTTAGGGACCTCTCCAAATTATTGAGTAATGATGTCAGTTTGAGGACTAACGTGCTTCTGATTCAGGCCATGGTTTTTGCTATGCATCTGAGAGCTGGACGATGAATAGGAATGACAGAAGAACTGATGCCTTTGAGCTGTGGTGTTGGAGAAGAGCACTAAACATCCCATGGACTGCCAAAAGAACAAACAAATATGTCTTGGAGAGGATGCAGCTGGACTGCTCTTTGAAGGCAAAGATGATGAGGCTTCGCCCAACATACTTCAGGCATGCTCCTAGGAGGGGCTATTCCTTGGAGATGGACAAGATGCTTGGAAGGGTGGAGGGTTGGTGAAGGACAGGAAGACCTTCAACCATATGGACTGATAAGGTGTCAAGAGGTGTAAATACAGCACACACAGGACAGGATGGTGTTCAGATCTGCTGTTCACAGGGTCACGATGAGTCATACCCAACTCAATAGGTAACTAATAATAATGTATAGATTTAAGTACAGATTCACATTGTATTATCCTAGTAAGGTACCAAGCTGCAAGCTAAGAGAGCATGCATTGTTTACGGTTAGCTTAAGTGCGAATTAGAGAGAAGAATAGCTTGCTCAGGGTAGTCAGGAACAAATCCCTTTGGGGCAGTCTATACTTACTTTCCCATATAGTTGCTCAATATCCTCTTCATTCCTCACAATTATGTTGTTGTTCATCATTTCAGCATGGCATATTTTAAATTCTTTCTTAGGAACATGGTCCTGATCAAAAGGGATTGGAAATGGAGACTCATAATGCTCACATACTTTTCTCTTCCTCTTTGGAGGATAGAAAACGGCTTCAGCCATTTTTCCACGGTAACTGTTTATTAAAGAAAAGACAATGTGGAGAAAGAAATGAGTCAATCAATAACTACACTAACACAAAGTAAATTACACTGATTAAAAATGTGAGCACACACCACAAAAAAAGGTAAACAATCCAATTTAAAAGTGGTAACAGGATATGAACAGACACTTCACCAAAGAAGACATTCAGGTGGCCAACAAGCACATGAAAAAATGTTCAAAATCCCTAGCTCTATGAGAGATGCAAATGAAAACAACGATGAGATATCTCACCCCAGTCAGAATGGCAAAATTTAATAGAACAGCAAGCAACAAATGCTGGCAAGGTTGTGGATAAACTGGAACTCTTATTTACTGTTGGCGGAAGTGTAAAATGGTGCAACCCCTGTGGAAGGCGGTGTGGCATTTTCTCAAAAAGTTGCAAACAGAGATACCATTTGACCCAACAATTCCACTACTGGGAGTATACCCCAAAGAGACCATAACTGACACCCAAGCAGCTATATGGACACCCATGTTTATCACGGCTTTGTTCACAGTAGCAAGTAGTTGGAAATGACTTAAGTGCCCATCAGCAAACGAATGGATAGAGAAGCTGTGGTATACTCACACAATGGAATACTATGCAGCACTGAAAAACAAGTAACTCATGAAATATTAAAAAATGGGTGACCCTGGAAGACATTAGGCTGAGTGAAATATCTCAATCACAAAAGGACAAATGCTGCATAGTGCCACTGTTGTAAAACAGGACTGACATCAGCGTTGGAGTGGAGACTGAGAAAGATGGGATAAATAATGTATACTGCATTGAAACAGATAAGACAGAAAACTGTTTAAAAGGGATACATGATTAGGTTATTTTTGTCCTGACAAGTCCAGAGCTAAGGCTGCACAGTGGAGTGGACCTGGGGGGAGGGACTGTAAAACACCGAAACAATTTTTCTTTTATTTTTCAAAGAGAAGAGTGTACAGGGGCGGGAGGGTTGGGCAGGGAGAAAAGTGTAACAATGAATGGAAATTAAAAAAATGTATGTGAGCACAATGATGAATTTGTAGTCTGGCAGAAGAAAAAATAAATCTCCAAAATATGTACAAAGCACTGAATTAAAAGACAGGAGTAAAGACATTTTGTGTGATTGGTGTCACGCACCAGAAAATCTCAATCCCCACTACCTCCAAGAAATTAGTGCTCTCTTAACAAAGAAAGGCTAGGATTAGGCTTTTCACTAGAGAATCCTACCTATACTCATTAAAAAAAAAAATTCAATTTTTTTAAACGTAAAAAAATGCCAAAAAACCAGAAGAAAAGGGAATAATTCCAAGCTTATTCTATGAGGCAAGCATCAATAATACTAGTAAGAAAGCCAGGATGACATCACAAGAAAACTGCCATAAAGTATTCCTTAAAAACCTGGCAAAACACAGAACTGTATGCCATGATCAGGTAGGACCGCCAAGAATGCAAGTTCAGCCTTCAAAAATTAACCAACGTTAATGAATAATATCAAAAGGAAGGAAGGAAAAAAAACCAAACCCAAAACCCCACCGAAAACCAAAATTCATGATCAGCTCACAGAAAGCATTCAACGAACTTTTACCTAACAACTTAAGAACAGAAGAAAAATTCCTCAACATGATTAAGGGCATTTATGAAACACTCACAGTTAACAACACACTAGGGAGCTCTAGTAGCTCAGTAGTATAGTTGTGCTGCCAATCCAAAGGCACAAAGATTGTATACACCAGCTGCTCTGCAAGAGAAAAATGGGCCATCTCCTCCAGTGTAATTTACTGCCTCTGAAAACTCACTGGAGTGTCAGCTATGGGTCAATTCCAACTCAACAGTGCATAAGATCATCATCACACTCAATGCAGAAACCCTACAAACGTTTCCTCTTAACGCAAGGAAAAAGAGGTGAACCTATGTTGTTCAATACTGAATTAGAAGGTCTAGCCTGAGCAATTAGCCTAAAAGAAAAATTATCTAAAGTTGGGAAGAAAGAAGCAAAGATGTCATTGATATTATTTCTAATTATAGCCAGCAAGACTTGAGTGCTAGGTTGCAAGGTTAGGCCTTCTGAGAGCAAGGTTTCAGCTATGCCTTTTACTTATTCTCTGGGACTCCTAGCAATCATGGATGCTAGGGAAAGGAAAGCCTGTCTTCAAAGGATTATACTTAGTGGCCACTCCATTTTCTAATGTTGTTGTTATGTGCTATAGAGTCACTTCGATACAACAGCCCTAAACCCTCCTCTATCCTGTGCCAATCGCACTGCCTCTGACACACCCATCCCAATTAC